GAATTCAATTACATTCATCTGTTCTTTTCTGGAATTTAAATGTGCCAAACAGTTTACTGAACACCACTGTTACTGAGCCCTTTTCCTCAACTGTCTACAGGCCTTGCAAAATGAGATCTTCTTCCATCTGCTTGATATGAAAGAGCAAAGTTCATAATATCAACTGCTATTGCTGATGCTACAGCATGAAAGGCTTGAGTTTTTGTGGACTTGTTAGATTTCATGGCCAGGCCAACATCCTAACCATCCTGTCTTAGGCATTCTTCTTTGTGCAACCTTCATCTTTGGGCTGATGAGGTCAATTTTCAGTTATTTAAAAAAACAACAACAAAAAACAGAAGTGTCTGTCAAGCTAGTATATCCTATTTAAGGGAAAAGCAATAGAAAAGGAGGTATTGATGAACAACATGCAAGTAACACCAGCTATATTCCAGGCTGCATCAAAAGAAGCGTGGCCAGCAGGGCAAGGGAGGAGGTTGTTCCTCTCCAGTCTGCTTTCATTGTACTCCACCTGCAGTACTGCATTTAGTTCAGGGGAAATAATGTTATTCAAACACTCAACATCTTGCAACAGTGGAGATGAACTAGTGTTTTAATGATAGAAATCTTTAGAATTAGTCCTAAGCTAAAGATGGGGTCAAAAGGTCAATCATTATCCTGTAGCTCTTAGCTTTAATTCCAAAGGAAGGGCATATTTCCAGACTGCAGATAACATTGTGTAACAATCAGTGATAAATTATGACAATTTAATAGTAACTGCCTTAAATAGACCGCCAAAACCAAAATATTCATAAATGTATCAAATGAATAGCGTCTGTCAGAAATATGTCAGCCATCTATTAAACTTCTGTTACAGTTCCAGCACTGCCAGAAAGCCTGTGAGAATTCTCAAAAAAAGACAGTGCAGTCCCTGATGGTTCTTCCTGAAATGACTGACCCATCTTACTGAAAACATTTTAAAAATAACTTCATGATACATAAAAATAATTGCTATCATTGACCTAGCAGCAACATTTAGAATAGCCTTGAGGAATTCAGCATGATAAACCCTTAAGACTGCTTGGAAAATTTTCATCGTGAGGAATTTTCAGTGGAATAAAGGAATAGTTTTCTTTCAAAAATGGAAAACAAACAAGTTTGCCAGCCTGGTCTGTAATACACAGTTGTTGCCAGTGGAGTAACATCTATGATCAGGTCACCCATTATGATAAATTCTACCTGGATGGAGCAAGATGATCTTTAAGGGTACATTCCACCTAAGCCATTCTGTGATTCTATGACAATATGATGATATTCAGTCTTCACACCGATATGACAATGATTTCAAGTCTACGGTGAAGTTGTGGTCTAATATCTTATGCTTTCTCTATCAATATTTAAAAATCTGATTTAATTCCATCAATTCTGTTTTCACTGATTAAAAAAACCCAGGCTATTCATCTTATACTCAAGTCAAAACCCCTAAATGCTGAAAATCATGCCTTCAATTTTGATATCCTTTCTAAGTTAGAAGATTAAGCTGGGGATAAACATACTGTCTGTGGTACATAAAACATTATTTGCACTAATGCAAAAATACTTGAACATGTTTGTCACTTGATTAGTACATCAAAATGAGAAGAGCCATGAGGACAGAAAAGAATGGCAGTTTCAGTCATGATTTTAATCTGCTTTGGTATTCTAGGAAGTATTAAAACTAGTATTGGCTTTATACTCAAATGTTAAACCAATTTGGTATCATGATCCATGCTGCCTCTCAGAACTCTGACTAATAATATTTATGTATTGTGAGTCTCAGGAAATATGACAACCTTTTCTAGATTAACCATTACTTTTAATCTGAAGGTGAACAAGTCCTTAGTATTGATGAGATTAACCCACAGGTACTGAGGGAACAGGTGGATGAAGTTGCAAGGTCACTATCCATCATATTTGAAAGGCCAGGCAGTCTGTTAAAGTTCCCACTGACTGGTAAAGTGAAACATAACTCCCATGTTCAAGAAGGGGAAAAAAAAAGAATGTAGGCCAGTCATTCTCACCTCTGTGCCTGGCAAGACCATGGAGCAGATCCTCCCAAAGGCCCTACTTGAGTACATGAAAAATAAAAATGAGGTGATTTGTGGTTCACCAAGGACAAGTCATGCCTGACAAATTTGGTGGCCTTTTACAGTGGATGATGGATAGCATCAGTGGATAAAGGAAGAGCAACTAATGTCATCTGCCTGGACTTGTGCAAACCATTTGACACTGTCCCACATGACATCCTGGTTGCCAAACTGGAGAAAAACAGATATAATGGATGGACAACTCACTGGATAAGGAACTGGATGGTTGCACGAAAGCTTGAGAGCAGCCCTGAAAAGAAAGGTTGGGGGATGTCAGCTGATGAAAGACTCAACATGAGCTGGCAATGTGTGCTTGCAGCACAGAAGGCTAACCATATCCTAAATTGCATCAAGAGGGCTAACCATATCCTGAATTGTATCAAGAGAAGTGTGATCAGCAGGTCAAGGGAGTTGATTCTGCCCCTCAACTTTGCTCTTGTGACAACACTATCTGGTATACTATGTCCAGTTCAGGAGCCCCCAACACAAGAACAACACGGAGCTGTTGGAGTGGGGCCAGAGGAGTACAATGAAGATGATCAGAGGGCTGGAGCACCTCCTCTACAAGGACAGGCTGAGAGAGCTGGGACACTTAGCCTGGAAAGGAGATGACTCCAGGGGGATCTTATCCAATACCTGAAGGGGGCCTACAAGGAAAAATGGTTAGGAACTTTTTGGAAGGGTATGTAGTGACAGGACAAGGAAAATGGCTTTAAACTGGAAGAGGGTAGATTTTAGACTAGATATTTGGAAAAAATTATTTACTGTGAGGGTGGTGTAACACTGAAACAGGTTGCCATCAAGGTTGTAGAAGACCCCACCCTAGAGGCATTCAAGGCCAGGCTGGATAGTCAGCAACTTGGTCTAGTGGGGGGTGACCCTGCCTATAGCAGAGGTTTGGAACTAGGTGATCTTAAGGGTCCCTTCCAACCCAACCGTTCTATGATTCTATGATTAAGACTTGCCTAACTTGGAATCCTGAACTGCATTATGCAGCATATTTCATCCAGGATGAAATTAGAAAATACGAATTTCAGAAGGCATGGAAATTGTTTGGAAAAAGTACAGAATGCTGACTTGTCATTAATATCAATGAGCTTCAGTTCTTCTATTAAAAAGAAGACAAGACCTAGAACACAGAGTTATAAGATGACACATATATAACATTTAGCCAATGTTAAATTTATTGGTGAAATATTTTATAATCTTTGGTAAACAGTTATAGTGAAAGAGAAACTGCACATCTAATGGCTATCTTAAAGAAGGCAGTGAAAATAAACCTCAGACATTTTTGTACATCAAATGTACTTTAGAAAGTTATATAGTAGCCTACAGGGAAAGGGATGCAGACTATGAAATGATAGCAATGAAAAACTAGGAGACAGGGGATGCTCTATAATGCTAAATAAAAAACATGTATTTAGAGTAATGAGTACTCTATGATGAGAGATTTCACCACTGTCTATTTAATGGCCTTAAAATATTAAAATGCAATAAAACTAAGAAGGGCAAAAGTATTTTAAACATAGGCCTATTGATTACAAACCCAAATGCTAAGGTATTGTGCAGTCAGTCCAGAAGCAGAAAAGGATACGAAAGAAGAACATAGAGGTCTTTAAAAATGATCGCTTTTGATTGAAGAACCTAACAAGAAATATGGGAACTTATGGGTGGTTTCAGATTTTTAGGATAATTCTTTGATGCTGATTGGGAAAAAAAACCCTGCTCTTCTGAATGCAATGTGAATGAAACAACAGACGGCATCTTGATTCTCTCCTATAGGATTTTTTAGTTAATGCTTGTCGGCGTATCACCCCTTCTTTTTATTTTGTAAGAGGCAGTTCCTTGGTCTTGTTCACATTGTGATTTTAATTTTGATTATTATTATTTTAATTTGCTATTTGTTTTTTTACCATATCAGACTGGGAAACATTTTGACTTGCATAGATTCTGCTCCTCTTTGGTCTGCAGGCTTATATAGAGAAACCTTTGCTGTTTCCAATAAAACAAAACCAGTAAATTGCAACCTCCTCTATGTTAAACAAAGCAGAGAAGTACTGCTTTCAGCAATTTGCAATAGGTTCTTCCAAACTCATCATGCTATTACAAGCTTTGAATATTGGTTTATTTATTGAACTCGCTCCCCCATACTGCCTAGGGTTTGGTGTGTTTTTAATTTTTTCCCACTAGAAGTGCATCATTCACAGTCAGTGCAAAAAATGAAAATGTGATTTTCTTTTTTTAACTGATGGATGAATGATAGACTTTTCAAGGGTAGAGAGATGCTTTCTATTTCATTGTCAAACACAATGAATTTCTAGACCTACAATGTAATAAATCTAGGATGTGGCAAGTAGAATTTAACCATGTATTTAGAGGCAAGCACGTGGTTGAATGCTCTGTTAACCCAGAGCTCAGGATGTTTCTAGAGTAAAACATACTGTGCTTAAAAAAAGGGAATAGACTATTTGTATTTCAAATGTTTGTACAGTGTTGAAAAGCGTTATTGCATTAGCTCTGTCAGAATGACTTATTTACTGGCTAGTCTTCTCTGTATTATTTTTGCTTCTGTTTACAATTTGTTCATGAACTAAAATAACTTACTTACAGAGTCAATATAATACTAATTTTATGCCAATTATTCCTAATTTCAAGCATTTTCTTATCTGATTAATGTCTGGTTGGCCCGTGCAGCGTCCTATATTCTCTTAATGCTGAACTGATGCAAAATACCAGTGGTTGATTGTGATACATGAAAACTGTAATAATGAGTGAAACTCAAGTCTGTCTGCAAATCTTTGTACAAAAATTACATTTCCTACCATAAGCAATGACATGATCCCATTGGCTGTGTCAGTAAATTTGGTCTAATATGTCTCATTGTGTTTCCAACAGCTCTGGTCCTTAGCTGTGCAATATGTGCTCAATTCCAGCAATCTATGAAGATGAGACCTGAGTGGCATGATCCACTGGAGTGTCTTGATTTGTTTTGCGAGAAATTCAGATGTATGAACTGGGAGAAGATGATGGACTTTTCTAATAACTCTGTTGTTCTGATCAGGGCTCTGGAGATGTTACATCTCTGATGTCTGTGTTGTTTGGAGAACTTCATTACTGAAGGGACTCAATCAGGTACAGATATCAGCACAGTTGTGGATGTACTGAAATCACATCAGGGCTTATATTCCACCTTGTGTACTCTGAGCTCCTGCAGTTTAAATGATACCTAGCTGGTTGAAACTGGCTCAGACGGACCTGACCCTGCTGGCTGCAGTCATGGCATCACACACCTAATCAGAGTGCCTAGGCTTGAAGACCTAGAATAACGGCTTGACACTATCAAAGTCAATGAGATATTGCCATTAGTTCTATATGTCTTCATAGCCAGAAATCTTTCTAATTTCACCCCTATTAATGCTAATGTCAATGCAAAAAACTTGGAGAAACTGCCTGTTTGCATCACTACATTAAATCTTTTGCAGTATTTGTTTCTTCAGTACTGACTTTACTGGTGTTCTTTAAGTTATACCCACTGTTCAAAGTGTCATACTGGAATACAGTTAGAGATTCTAATAAAGTAACTCAGAAGTATTTACTCATTTTCTTAATTTTTTTTTTTTTTTAATAAAAGAAACAGCTAATCAAAAATCACTACTTGGTGCTTCAATAACTAATGTAATATTAGACACAATTGGGAAAAAAAGATCCAGTAGACTTTAATCAGCTCAAATGCTGTTCACTTTTATGAAAAAAAAAAACCCCACAAATGTCTCAGGCAATAGCTTTATCTTGTAGACTGATATGCGTATAAAGAGGGGGTGAAAGAAAAAAATAGGGATTGTACACACTGCTTCCTGCTTAGACAAAATGTCCTTGGAAATTGCTCATTTAGAAAGCTGACTATCTTCCCAAAATAAAACTCGGAAGATAATATACCTTTCAGACTTTTTTAGACAGTGCCAAATTACACTGATAATGTAAATTCTGTACATGCAGAGACAACATCTTGTTTGACCAAAGAAAGGCTGGAAATTAATGAAGACTCTGTGTATGTTTTCCCTGGTGGTCTGAGTCGCTTACCTTGCTAACAGTGTTTAATCTTTTAAAAGTAGAACAAAGAAGCAAAAATTCCTATTCCAAACAGGAAGCACCAGTGCCTTCATCATTCACATCACTGTAATAACAGCAACGTAAGTCAGCAGCAGTGTGTGAATGCTAACCTGGGAGCCATGAATCACAGCTCTCAACTTCTTCAGCTTGTGCTTTCAAAACTTGGTCTTTTTTAAAGTACCTTTTGCATGTGTTTGTTCTGTGAGTTCAACCATTTCTCTTTATCCTTTGAGAAACCATTTCTTTCGCCATGGAAAATTTTCCCTTTGAAAGAGTACATAGCAGCATTCAGCCAAATCAAACTTTTTTTTTTTTTCCCCTCATTTTTTTGATCAAACACTAGTTGGAGACAGTTACAATGCAAATACCTGAAGTCTCATTTCCATCTTTGCAGTCAGAGCATTCTTAAAAACAGCTCCAGCTCCAGGGAAACAAGCTCATTTCTCTTTATTCCTTGTCTTGAACCTCAAATGAGAGATAAACAAAGTAATAGCTTGCTTAGGAAGAAATTGAAACACATGTAATAAGCAGAAATGTTCATATTCCACAAGATAATTCACATTCTCATATCTAAGATAAATATTTACTTATGTCATCATTGAGAAGAATAGCAGATAAAATGCCAACAAGCTCAAAATTCTTTGATAATCAATACTCAAATCAAGTAATTTAATAATTAAATTACAAATGAGCCCATGTTTGAGGGAGCACTCAAGGCTGTGCAGTCATAGTGGTTCTTGCACAACATTATAACATAAAAGAAGGGCTGCTGGGAACCAAGTTTGTTCTTTTTATTGGCGGCACCAGAATTCAGTCTCTCCATTCTGAATGCTGGTACTTGTAGCCTCGTAGAGACGTCATCAATTCTGGGAACTCTGCTGAAAGAAGGATGTTAGCACTGCAGTGGTTAAGCCTAAGCCTGTCAAATAGCAATGGAGCTGCCTATTTGGCCATTTAATTACAGTCTGACCATGAAGATGGAAAGTCCAGGGGAAACCAGGTGTACTCAATGTGCAGCCCAGATCCAGCTCCCTGTGGGAAACAATCTTTACAGCTCGTCATTCATTTTATATATCAAGTTTGAGTGTCATTTTTTTTTGGTTTGTTTGTTTGCAAAATATTGCATGTTCTGTCAGTAGGTAAAAATTCCATTTTTTTCAAGATCTTTTTTTTTCCATTGATCACATTAGAAGTGGCCACACCATCCTTTAGCTGTTTCACTTTTGCTCAACACTTTCATTTAGTTTGATATTCCCTTCTTCCTTTCGGTCCCAACACAGTGATTGCTACTATATCATACTTGGGCAGATCTTAAGCAGTCTGTCAGGACTCCCAGATCTGTATTCAGATCAGCTTTATTTTGTGCTTTAGCTAGACTCCAGTTTATTCCAACATCTCAACGGCTGCTTTGAAATACAGCATATTTTCTAAAAAATTTCCTGTGTATCCAGCCATTTCATGAGAAAATTCTGAAGCAAAGCCAGGCGAGGGATGTCTGAGATCTAACACTCCTGCACTACACTTATTTTTTGATTTTCAAGGTACTGATCCATAGCACTTCACAGAGAGACTTCAGAGTATCACAGCTCTGAAGTACCACTCCATACAATTGCCTCCAGGATGAGATTTACCAGTACTGATCTATTCTCCTGCACCATGAACACATTTCAGAAATACATGTCTTAGTTTTCAGACAAAGTGACCCCTGGATGATGAGATTTCATATTGCTGGAAGAGAGTGCCTAATATGCATGTCTCTTTTTGGACAATTGTCTTCGTGCCATTCCTCTTTATTCTAGAAGACTGATACATGCTGAAAATCCATAGCAGCATGTTAGTATTCCCCCTGTGATAGTATACTTAAAAATAAAGATATTGTAGAGTACCAGACAAAATAAAACAGAACTTTTCTGTGTTTTTTTCTTTTCTTCAAGAAGAAAGTCCAGAACTCTCAGTGAATCATCTCTTCTGTTCTAATAGTTACATGTAACATTCGTCTTTTCATCACATCTTAAATGTACATTTGGTATTAAATTTTTTTGTGTGTGCTTCTTTTGAATAGAAACACTAAAATATGTACTTTTAGATTTCCTTTATCTAAAATTCCAGGCCCTATATATTACCAGCTTAAAAAAAAAACATTAATTCTATTCAATTAAGTAGAAAACGTATCTTGAAATTACCCGTGTATTTCTAGAAGAAGAAGACTTGCTGAGCTGAGCATTGTACAGGAAGATTTACTGGATGTTAATTTAAAACCCGAAGTTCAGATCACAAAGCAAGAATTTCTAAATATTCATTATGGCCCTCTAAATTGCACTCCTTCCATCAAGGTTACACAGTTTATTAAATATTCATAAAACAGAGTACCAAAAAAAATTCTAATTGCAAATAAGTGCAATTGATGTAGATTGCATTATTTATGATTCCATTTGTTAAACTAAGACAATAGAAATTGATGAAAGACATTAAGTGGACCAAAATCTAAGGCAAATTTAGTACAGAATCAGGCTTTTTTCCTCTCAGTTTTTTTTTTTTTTTTTTTTGATTGATAGAACTTCTTGTCTATAACAATAACTGTCAAAAAGTCTGATTATTTCTGTCTGACTTAATGAAATCATAATTCCCATATGACACAATGCCACTACAAATGTACAATAATTTTGTGATTAATTATTATTAAGCTTTACATGTCATTAGAAAAAAGTTAATAAATGGCTTTCCTGTATTTAGGGAGAAGCTCTCAACATCAGACAACAAAGACTTTACTACACTGAGAAGCAGAGTTTGAGCAGTTGTGTCTCCTCTGCACGCTGGGGAGAGAGGAAACATCCTCCTTAGTGGGTGACCTCCAACTAACCACAATTTAGTGTCATCTGGTAAGAGTGATGTTGGGACAAGATACTCAGATCATCTGGGTAAACCAAATAATGATCAACACTTCTGGATGCTCTGCTCAGACCTGTGGCATGCACCTACTCTCCTATTCCAACAGCTGTGTTGTACAAGACATTTTGCTGTGGTAGGATTGGGTGACATTCCTCCAAAAAAATACAGAGGGGAATATGATCAGATGCCCACATGATACCTGAAATCCAGATGGAGTTAGATGAGATGGACTCTGACTTTCAGCTAGCTGGAATAAGCCTCACTTTAAGTAAGCACAAAAAATTGTAGGACAAACATAAAAGTACATGCAACAAGAAAATGTAGCAGCATAAACCATTGTAGCTGAACAGTCTATTTGTCTTTAGGTATGATATACATCTGTAGCCAAAAATACAAATGTTTGATATCTCCAACAGCTTTTTTTGTTTCTTTGCTAAAAGTATTTATATTTCTGCCTCTCACTTTTCTCTATAAGCTTTCATAGATAAAGATCCAAATCCATCATTTCTGTTAGGGAATTACTGATGCGTAGAGCTGTGGAAGGCAAAGGTCTTTCCTGCAGCAGGAGCCAAACTTCTTCTGCTACATGGAGTATGTCATGGTCATGACTTAGGTCTCCGTATGAGTTATCTTGTCAACTAAAAGGGGTCCAATTTTTCACCAGAACCCTCTGTATTTGGAGATTTCTCCTGACAGCCCTGTGACCTCACAGTTTGGAATTCAGTTCCTAATTGAAAGATTCCTAATTGTTTCAGCAAACTTGTCTTTCTTAGCTCCAGTGAGTGATTAAATACCCTTTCTCTTGCACTCTGATTTTTTCTTGCTTGCTTATCCACAGCTAATTTTGAGTTTCCTGTATGATATACAGTACACTACTATCTACTTAATGTTAGACCAAGAATATAACTTTCAGTTTCCTATGCCAGCCAGGAGCATGTAAATTAATAGCACAATATTTCTTCTCTTTTTGTTACCTTTTAATTCCCATGACTAAAGTGTTTAAGAATTTCTAATTGTATAACCAAGATGTTATAATTGCAATATAATCAAAAGAGTAAGGCAAAGTGTATAACCAAGATGTTATAATTGCAATATAATCAAAAGAGTAAGGCAAAGCAAACAGGGATCACAAAAGAGAATAAGTAGAAGAGCTTACCCTTGGGTTGAGCTCACTAGAAGATATCAAAGAGGAGGATCTCCAGAAGAGATCCTTCCCCTCTGGTAGCCAGCTCTTAAATAGGTCCAGGAGGGGTGGAGCCTGGCTCCACCCCTTCCGGTAGCACAGGTGAATTGCCTTCACCTGTGCTCCTCTGGCTGACTCATGGCTCACCTCAGGTGATCAATCAGAGGTTCAGGCCGTGACTCAGCAGTTCCCATACACTAATTAAGAAAGATAATATACTCACTGAAACTAATAAGGAGTTCTGCCACAGGCTGCTACGGAGATAGCAGCAGAACTGAAGCTCTAAAAGAATAT